CCTCGGATTGCTCCAGAAACAGCTCCACAACAAGAAGCTTTGGATCCAATTGCTGCAGATGCAGCGTGTGAAACCAATGCTCCAGCAGGTCAGCCCAATGCTGATGGGAGCCACCATCATGCTCAAGTATCAGTTTCCGTGCATTCTGGATCCGAAGTGCCTGAGGTCGCTGCAACACCCGGAGTTTCAATGCCATCCATGGAGAATGTTGAAAGAGATATTGCACCAACTCAGTCTGAGCACAAGAGTACCAGTGAAAGTACTAACACATCAGGTGTTGGCAATGCCGGTTTTGAAGCGCCAAACCAGGTTTCTGAGGTGGAGCACTTGCAGATAGAATATTCTGAGAACCAGCGGTCAGATGATATTGAGGAACAACTCACTCCACAAACTGATTCGAAATGTGATTCCACCAGTGCCGACATTGACAAGACCAATGCCGCTTGTACACCTGGTGTTGTTTCAGAGAAGCTTGACAACACAGAAGCCTTGACAGATGAATGCTCCTTGCAAGAGAATCCGTCTGCAGACACATCAACAGCAGGAGAGCAATTTCTCTTTAGGCTTTTCCAACCTCTTTTGAATGGCAGCATCGTTCCAAGAGATGAGGAACCCTATGACAACACATCGTCAGCATGTGAAGATTGTGAAGTTGAAGCGCATTCACCGTCACACAAAAATACAACTGATGTTGAACAAAAACCATTGGAGATGGAGAAACAATGTTCACAGGTGGAACCTCTTGCCATGGTGCCAGTTGAGAAAGACCAGCAGAATTGTGAATCAAAGCTGGAACCTCTGGCCATGGTGCAAGTTGAGAAAGACCAGCAGAAGAGTGACTTGTGCTTTGCTATGAGGTTGTCAGGTGACATAGTTGACACGATGTTGAAATCAAACACAGCGTACTGTGTTTTCAAATGGAAACACAACCTACGAGCAAAAACCAAGATATGCTTTGTACAGGCTGAAGATGGCAAGGTGATTGCAACTGCACATGTTTCTTGCATAGATAGTATTGAGTCCCCCAGAGATCTCAGAGCGCATCAAGCATTTCAAGATGCAACAGCAGAGCAGAGAGACTCTTGGCGTACATTTGTTGCCCAGAAGAAGAAGAAATTACATGTTTGGAATTTCTATGGCTTGCAGAGGCTCGATGTTCCACTGGAGCTGCCACCATCTAGAGGAAGAAGTATGTGGATATCCTTGCATGACTTGAGGCCTTTTGTAGATAAGGCAATACCTGGCATGGACTTGCATGAAACATGTGACTTCT